TTCTTAAAACACCCTGTACAGTATCTTGTTGTCGTTGTTTTTACCTGTACTGGAAAGCACTGCACCTGCCTGTGCTTGAAAATTACCACACAAATAAAATGATTCTTATTCTGGTTTATATTCTTGTAATATCATATGAAACAATGAATAGGGTTTTCTGAGAGATTAGATACATTTTCTATAAGCACTGAAAAATAATATTTTGCTACATTGGCCTGTGTGTCAGTGTCTGACTCATACCTGACAAATGTTTTTTCTCCACTGGCTTTTTTGTACTTCACCACATTTTCCACTTCATACTGGTGCTTTCCTTCATGGAACTGGTGGAGGATCAGCACGCCTCCCTTGACCAGAGAATCCTGACATATAGAAATAAATAAACAAACTTTCTCTTAACTGAACATCAACCAATATACACAAACATATGTTTTAAAATGTATCTCACATATGGTGACATTCAGTGTTAAAGACAGATTTTGTCACCAACCTTCAGATCCATGGTGCCGACAGTGTCCGCTGCTGATAATGCCAAAGACTAAAGCCAACACCAGGTATGTAGCACTCTTTTAAAGCCCTCGGTGTGTTAGTGCTTCTGCTTTGCATGAACAGAAGGGGAAGTAGGAATGAAGGGTCACTGAGGCAGTCATGGATGAGGAACTGATGTCAGAAGAGGAAGTTAATGAGGATTAGTAAATCTTAAATAAAATGGGGACATGCTGTACAATATGGTTTTGTCAGAAAACAGAACTTGCGACAAATATAGAAGAACAAGAGAATTCATTAATAAAAGCATTTTATGTTATTGTTCATTGAACTGAACTGTACGGTAACTCAAAACATTAACATCTCACATGAAACACCGTTTTCTTTTTTTCTGGATGTTCACTTCCTTAATCAACAATGCCAATAAAACAAGCATAAAGACACATAATCCTTAACAGGGAGAAGAGGAAATGATAGCCATCCATTGTATAGTATCTCACATTAGACATGGGAACTACTGAAAGAACATTACTTCCTCTGTGACAGTAAACAATATACATTTATACTATGTGTGGTTTACAATTCACTATCCCACTAGAAACGGAAGGGATCCAGATACAGTTCTGCGTAAACTGTAATGGTCACTTTGGATTCACAATATGTCTATGTCTATTATAATGTAGTAAGATATCACTAATGGTATTTTATCAAAAGGTAAATACAGTAAACAGTGCTTGTACATTGTGCCTTTTTATGAATGCAACTGTCCAGTATCTAAAAGTGTTGTATTCTGCACCGTGTGTGGTATTGTACAGTGGTGAGTGAGCAGACATATGCACTGGTTCATTTGTATGTATAAATCCTAAATATGTTTAAAAATACAAGTAGTTTGAAAGCTTTGGAGAAACCAAGAGGAACGTTTTGGTAGAAAATTTTAATGTTGCCCAGTGCAAGTGTACACAAACAAAGTTATGTTTATATTCATTGTTTCTCAATACAACACATTATGTACATCACTGAGGCCAAACAAATGGGTTGAGTGTATTTACTTCCTCTTAAAACATTCACAACAAAGTCTTTTTTAAATATTGTTTACATCCTTTATTGGCAATCAGCAGAATAGCATGAAACTAAAGTCAGGATATGAATCATGCTGCCTGACTGCACGAAACAAAACAGCAACCAGATTCACAAAAACATGGCTCCAAAGCACTACTAGAGGTAAAAAAAAAAAAAACTACAGCCAGCATCTGGTTAGCTTAGTTTAGCGTAAAGAGAGTAAACAGGGGAAACAAAGGTCTGTCCAAAGGTAATAAAATCCACCTACCAGTCTGTCTAAAACTCACTAATTAACATGTTATATCTCAATTGTTTAATGCATCCACAAACTGACAGAGACATTTACCTGATTAAAGGAAGAGAAAAAAAGATGTTCATGTTACAGTAGTCTTTCTGCACATGACTGCAAACATATCTGCTGGTGCAACGCCGACTGTTTTTTTACTGGGATGAGTTGTGTTACTAAATTTATACAAACACACACACTGCACACTGAAGCTATTTCCAGCTTTCCCTGTTGAGCCAGTGAAGTCCAGCTAAATCTGTATGCGCTGAGGTGGATTGAGTTACAAGAGAGGATCACGCCACTGTCGCAAAACATCTCAGGTCATCAGCCTCACACAGCAGTATGCAAGAGATGAGATACAGACCACGTTTCCACTGTCTCAGAAGCTGGCATAAGTGGACAATCCAAACTCAACCAGGTACTGTGGTGTCCTGACCATACTGGATATAAATTAAATGCATGAGGTGTGTTTTTCTTTTTAGTTTTTTTTAGCTGTAACAAAGTTTCAGAAACAACTCATAAAGACTCTTTAGCTTTGGCTTTGTGTATTGTAAATTTTATGAAACTCTCTCTCACAAGTCTGTGATTATCTGAAGCACATTAGAATAAAAACGTTGATGTTTCTTGCTCAACGTGAATAGAAATTCAATAAAACTATTTTATGTGTTTTATTGATTATTGTGGTATTCCCTATGAAGTACTGTAAACGTGTTTGAATGTGAAATTGAATTAAAATGAATACATACTGAACAATATCCATCAAACCATGAAAGTAAACCACCATGGAATGAAAGGGACATGTTGCAGCTGAAGGAATGACCTCTGGTTACAAATCAGGCTTTGAAAGTACTACTCACCTTCCAATACTTCTTTTTAACTGTATGAGCTGTGACACAGTCTTGTATTGTCTCTGTGTGTGTGTGTTTGTGTTCCAGATGGTGATACTCGATGTGTTAGTAATAGGGGGTGGCCCTCATGCCTTGACTCTGGCTAGCTTGTTATCCAACCCTGATCCAAACTCAGACCCTGGGCATGACTTACCCCTCTCCCCCTCTTGCCTGGACTCTCAGAGGCCTCAGCTAAATCCAGAGACATTCAACAACAAACGCTGCAGTGGCAAGAAGAAGAAGAGGGCAACAGCTGGTACCATATGCTTGACTTTACCTACTTCATAATTATGAGATACAATTTCATAGTTTTGACTTCCTCTCCTAAGTCATAAGTCTGAATTAAAATGGACTCAAATTGTCATTTTAAAATCATAACCTAAACACAAAAAAATATTATTGATTATTACTCTTTTCTTCTCTTATTACTCTATTACTCTCTAGTAATACATTATTATGAATTGCCTTTGGTTACTTCTATCATTTATTCTATTTGAATCGCAGAACAACTCTGAGATATGGGATGTGTGATTCAGAGGTCCAGGACCAGGCTACCTTAGTTTGTTTACAAAACAAAACACTAAATAAATGAATGCTCTTTTGTCATTGTTACAAATTCTGACGTACTATAATCAAACTGAGTTTTGCTTCCTGTGTGGCCTTATAATTCATTGCATATGTGGTTTGTGATTAGTCTCTGCAGGCGTGACGCTGGAGGAGCAACTAGCGAAGTCAACAATATCAGAGAGGGCCGTTTGTCCCCAGCTGAGTCTCCGAGTGGTAGATTCCTATGGAGAGTGGACCACTCTGTGGGAGAGCCAGTTCACAGCTCTGAACATCCGTCATCTGCGCTCACACACACTGGTGCACACAGACCCTCTCAATAAGGTATAAACACAAACACACAATTCCCCTTTAGTAGAAATGAGGAAGGTGCCTTTACAGTATGAGTATTAATGAATTGTGAATGTAAATAAGCACATGTGTGTGTTTTGTCCTCGACAGAAAGCATTGCAGGAGTTTGTTTTAAAGTATGATCGTTCGGCGGAGCTTCACAGTCTTCCAGACCAGGTTTACATTCTGGATGAAAATGCATTTTTTAATGACATGAGGCTCGGCAAGAAGGAGAGGAAACGTCTAAATATCACCTCAACACTCAGGAAGAGTTTAGCCTTCAGTCTGCCAGGAACCAAACTAAGTGTGGATTTCTTTAAAGATCAGGTTGGACAAAAAATTGTGTGTGTGTATTTAACAGATGTTATACTCTATGATAGGTCAAGAATAACTTTAAAATAATTACTATTGTTTGTAACATTTTAATTGCTCTTGCCAACATCACATTCACAGTTTTACCAAAGCATGCAACACTGTATCTAAATAACCTATGTTGTGGTTTGAATTTAGCTTTTGCTTGGAGTTTGGAGTTTGGAGTAACTAACTTTGAGGTAAAATATTTAAAATTATAGCAAGAACAGAATCATACAGTATAATTACAAGCTTATATTAAACACCATTAAACAATACTCCTAGCATTATTGCCCTAAAATGTGACAATGAAACTTCATGTTTGTGACTCACTTTTAATGATTTATGTCTTCACAAAGGTGTATTGTTGGTCTAGATTGCAAAATATGGAATAATGTCAAAGTTACCCACATAAAACTGAGTATTGGTATTTCCTGAGTTAATGAGATGGTGAATCTAAACATGCAGGTGGAGAGATACAATTTGGACAAAGTGCTGGTGAAGGGAACAGTGGAGCACATCAGGCCTGTGATTGAGCATAAGGAAGAGATGGAAGAAGAGAATGAACGGATAAAAGAGCGTGAAACAAAGGGTGAGGGCATGAGAGTGACTGAGAGGAAGAAAGATGGGTCAAGAAAGACAGTGAAATATTTTCAAGTCCAACTTCAAGAAGGCACTATCCTAAAAGCCCGGCAGGTTGTTATGGCAACAGGTCCAACCCGTGCCCAGATGGCAAACATCCCTTCGTGGGTGAAAAGTATTGAAGAGAGCTACCCGGAGGAGCGGTTGCAGCACACAGTGCACCTCATGCACCACCTGCCAAATGCAAGGCAAAAACTTAAAGACACAGATTGTCAGAGACAGAAAGAGACTTTTTCCACTCAAGGTGAGTCAGATTTATTTTTTCTTCTACAGAAAAGCTTTGTAGGGAACTTAGGTTTTAGCATTTGTCCTGGATTTTCATAATATTCAATAATATTTTGCTTTTATCTGAGGTTTCCGTGCTTCTGTAGACTTCAACACCTTCCTTTACAATTACTGTATGCCTATGTGTGTCTAGAACTGTGTGTAGTGTGTGAGGCAGGGCAGAGAGTATTGGTAGTTGGTGGAGGTCTGACCAGCGCTCATGTCGTCTCAATTGCCCTGCAGCAAGGTGCCAGCCATGTGACATGGGTTATGAGGAAGCACCTGCAGGTCTCTTGACAGTGTGAAACTGCATGTAGACCAATTATAAATAATTACTGTAGATTCACCTGCCGCCCTCCAACACACATCCTCTTTATTGTTTATTTTACAGTTAAAACAGTTTGATGTGGGTGATGTGGAGAGCCTGGTGGGTCGTTACTCCCACGTGGAGCATGGCATCAAAATGGATGGCCAAGCCTACCTGCGACAGTTCTATAATGAACGGAGTCTCCACAAACGTCTAGCTATGATTCGCCAGGCAAGGAAAGGAGGCGCCATCACCCCAGAGGCCTACATCCATCTACAGCCCTTCATCCTGAATGGACAGGTGGACCTGAAGACATACTGTCAGGTAGGCACGGGATGATCTTTCATATCACAATTATCTTGTTCAAAATAATATTATCATGATAATCATGAAATTATACATCATACTTTAAAATGTATGTTGTTCAAACTAAATCAGGAAATCAATATAGGACTATATGCTGGTGAGTTAGACAGCTTCTTCAAGTCAAGCCATGTGAGAATATCCACAATTATCACTATAAATGTATCACAATAAGCGATGACATCGGATATCGTCCCATCCCTACTGTCAGGTACATGGGAACCCCACAGGGTATAAGGTTGAGGATGTAGTGAATGAGGTGAGATAAAGTCAGATGAGGGGAGGTAATGACATAATGTAATGTGAGGTATGTGGTGAAGTTTTCACCTGAGTCTCATGCAACTGTCCAGGTGAGTGAAACTAGCTGGTGCTACAGGAGCCAGGCCTGGAGTTTGTCCCTCAGCACTGGGGACCACTGGACTGGAGACATGATCTGGCTCGCCACCGGCTGCAAACTTGATGTCAAACAGGACCCTTTGCTCTCTGGGGTGATGAAGGAATTCCCCATTCAGGTGGGTTAAATATTGAAAAGGTTTTTACACCACTTAGGTGTGTATAGAAGTGTGAAAAGTGGAACAAAGGAAAAACCTTTGGTTGGTTTAAAAAGGTTTTAAAATCACTTGAAGCATGGTAAGATAAAAACCAATGTATTAATTTGTGCTCTATTTTCATGATGCAACCTGAACAAAAAAATACTAATAGATCCATAAAATGTGACTGGCTGTCTTGAAGGTGATAGATGGCTGGCCGTGCATATCAGAAAGCTTACAGTGGTCAGAAGAGTGCCCACTCTACCTGATGGGGCAGTACACCGCTCTTCAGGTCGGTCTTCTATATAATGTTTTGGTGTGCAAATAAAAGCTCTCAACAAAAACCTGTGTAGTTATTTTAAAGACTACGTTTCCCCTGTCTTTTTTCCCCACACAGGTTGGACCTCATGCAGTAAACCTGGCGGGCGGACAGGCTGCTAGTATGCGAATCGCCAAGGACATCATGCGGCATCAGAAACAGGACAATGCAGAGGCTTCTGAGCTGAGTGGGGAGAAATCTAAAACTGAAGAATATATTAAACAGATGCAGGGCCTGTTATGGCTTTAACGTTAGCATTTATCCTGAAGACTTCAAATGCATGTATGTAAGAAGTTGTCTATTCTTAATGGTGATGGGCCTGTGTGGCCTTGATTAAACGGGTTACATAAGAATGCTGTGAAACTTCCTGTTTACAACAATTCTATTTCAAATAAACAAATATTAATCCTTGAGGGTACCATTAATTGTTCACAAAGATTGAATGACATGGCTTGGAAGGACAAGCTGTATGATCAGTGATCTGATAAGTTTTACATCAGTGTTTTCCAAATTAGTCTGTTTGCCAGCCAATTGAGCCCCATTGTGAACCCAGAAATGTTGAGTACTCAATCAAGGGTCAAGGCAGTGATACTCTTAATTAAGGTTTGTGGGCCAGATACTTTAATCTGCTGTGCCGGGTGGCATGCTGACCACTGTTCAATTTTCCATAGCTGTTACTTTGGAAGTTATATATTAGCCTGTTAGGATATTAATGATTTTCTTCTTGGCAAAAATGACTGAGGACAGCAAACATCTAAAGGCTGACAATAAAAAATGGACGGATGAATTTGCCTGTATTTTTCTGCTTCATACCAATCTTAAACCATTGTGTTTAATCCTCCAAATGAAAATTGCTGTATGCACATTTGGTAATATCAGGGGTCAAAACATACTAGCTGCAGTGCAACATTACAGCGTGTTAGACTTTAAAGCCGTCTTCTTTTGCCACATCAACAATCCTAATGTTCATTGATGTTATCTGATAACTGTTATTAATGTTAATTAACTGGCCCCTGGCCTCCTTTAATTTTTCAAAAGTGGCCCCCTGGACAAAGTTGAGTACCCCTGGTCTAAGGATTAAGGGTTTGTAGCTCTTGTTATTCACTGTAAAGCCCTTTGAAACAAATCTGTGATTCTGGGCTCTATAAATAAAATTAATCGAGTTGACTGAAGCCCTGTGCAAATGGTGGAGGTAATCTCTGGTCACACTTGGATCACTGATTGTCTTATTAAATTTACTGTGTCCAAACTAATTTCTATCCTACTGATGCTCGATTATGTCCAGCCACTTACCTTTCATACTGTTTAAATATCTTAAGCCACGCCCCCTGCCTGACTTCCGGATCGTAACCTTACCTGAGGTTGTGAAGAGGGCTGTAGTCACAACAATAAACTGGCGGTCTGTCTAATGTGGCTATAAAGTCACAGTTAAAACAATAAAAACAATCTGAATAGAGTCGGGACTTGCTGTCTTCTGCTTTCAGGTGGGTGGGTGTGTGTTACGTTGCTAGTGTGTTAAACACTGATGAAAGCGCTGTTCCTGTGCAACAGGTAGGCTTGTTCCTCCAGGTGAAGTAACACGCTACGCTTCCTTTATGCGCAAGGTAATAAATAGGCAGTTGTATGAAATAGCAGATCAGCACTAACTTTATCATAAGGAACTAGGAGATCTGAGATCAGAGCATTCAAACAAGTAAAATGATGAACCATGCACGATAATTCAGGGATCATTCAGGAGATGTTAAGACGTCATAACATTGTGAAAGTGAATGAAATGAAATGATTGTAGCGAGAAGGGGTGAGAGACCGTCAGCAGCAGCAGCAGTGCTGAGATCAGCTGATGATCAGCTGACCGCTCAGCTGACACACTCGCAGCTGATCGCTGCTGTCAGATCTTTTTGTCTATTTCTACTGTCGTAGTGGAGTCTGGGCAGCTATGACCCTGCAATTTATCAAAAAGAGAAAAAACCTTTTGAAAACTGGGAAAACCCTGTGATTGCGTGACTTTTCCGGTTATTTTGTCATATCACGTTACTTTGCAGTATTTTCTTTTGAAATATCCCTCTAACAGATTTCTCCTCCCTAGTCCAGTTTGGGATTTGTACAAGATAATTTTATTAATAAACAAATAAAAGACGACCAACACACACATAACTATGAATATTATAAAGTGTAGCGTTGAGAGCACTATCTTAAGAAATAGTAAAGAGAAAGGCCTTTAAACGTGTTATGTAACTGGGCTCTGGTGAAGTTTGTTTTGCCGGTCCAGGGTGTTTCCCTGCCTTTCACCAACTGCATGCTGGGAAACTGTGGCTTCCACTGAATAACAATAAGTGAGGAGAGAAATGGATGGATAGATTGTTGATGATGTATGATGCTATGATTGTAACTGTAACAGTGATAAACAGCTTAACAAATATAAGTTTATCTCACTGTGTATGACCCACAGCGGATCACAGTATTACTGTAATTCTGCTCTGTATCAAGTGTTTTAGTGGCTATTTCAAGATGTCAAATAAGTTGTTGTTTTTTTTTTTAATCCTAAAGAAGGAATAAAGAGAAGAGAAGATGGTTTTTCTGCCTCAAAACAAACAATTTTATCGTGTCCATAGTTGTTTTTTATTGTCATGATCATTAATAATCATTAAGGAATGTTTTGTGTTTTCTCAGCACAATGAATGTGAGGAGAGTGGAAAGGACAGTTCTGAGTGTGGAGCAGTCGGAGGGAGTTGGTGCTCGTGTCCGCAGGAGCATTGGTAGAAAGGAGGTAAATTCCTCAATCTGTTAATGTAGTCCAAACTGTCAACCCTTTGAATGACTGCTCTGTCAAAAAACTGTACACATTTTATTTCTAGCTGAGAAACCTGGATCCTTTCCTGATGTTGGATGAGTTTAAAGTGAGCAAGCCGGCAGGTTTTCCAGACCATCCTCACAGAGGATTTGAGACGGTAAGCATTTTAGGAATTCCAAACTGTTTAGTGTGGCAGTATTCAGATAAACTGGCATAGACAGCCAGCCACTTTTGACTGTCCACCCCTCTCCGACATCAATAAAAAGACAAAAAAAAAACAATAATATCAAACCTTTAAAGACCACAATGTAAAACATTTACAAGTTCCACCTCCTCAGCTATGAGAATTTCCTGCTCTTCTTTTTCTTTTATGATAATAAACTGATTATATTTGGTATTTGGACTGTTGATCAGACAAAACGAGCAATTTGATGACACCCCCTTGGTCTTTAGAAAATTGTGACGTTTATTGTCCACTTTTCTACGACACTTAATAGACCGAGTGATTAATCAAGACAGTAATCTACAGATTCTTCAATTATGACAACAATCGCTTTTTGCAGCCCTTCTTATTACAACTGTCTTTTCTGAATACTCCTCTGATGGATAAAATCCAAACATTATTCCAAACAACAAAATCTGTATGCTTTCAACCTTATTTTTCAGAACTCAGGGCAAAGAAGAATCTAACTCATTTTCTAACGAATTTGCATAACAGTGAAATTATATAATTTGTAAACAGCATGCAACACCCTTCCTCCTACTGACACTATACTACAACTCCTTTAACCAAATAACTAAAATTGGAAATTCCTACTTTTATCACTAGATGGCGACAACAGGACAGTGTCCAGAAAGTAAGCGACAGTGCCACTTTGACTTTAATAAAAGATGTAGGTTTAGATTTAAAAAATCATATAGAAAGCCAGCGATATCAGAGATAGGCTATAATATCTGCTGGTACCGTTAAAGTTTGCATGTTTAGTTTAGTCCAGAAAGCTTTGAGTTAAACATTAATGATGACAACTCACATTAAATTCCCCTATTTTGAAATAGAGGAATTACCCTGGCTTCTGGTGTGTTTTCGTGGAACCATCCTTGTGGTTTTTTTGTTCTTAAGAATGTGAAATTAATGTATAATGACTCCACCAAAGAAATTATTCCTTAACCATTGTTTGTGACATACTGACATGTTGACCAGTTTATTGAAAACTGAGAGATCAAATGCACATGCAAAACCAAACTTGAGACCATTTTGCGATGGGATCACTCAAGCCACAATGCCTGTCAACATGTTGAAGTTCCAAGCCATGGGTCCTTAGTACATCATGACATGAGTACTCGTGGGCCATACCATAGCCATCATCAAACTCTGCCTTCATTTTGATCTCAACTACTCATTTGTACAGTTTTGTGACAGAATATTCCGCAGTTGTGATACAATTTGTCCATAGACAGACAGACAGACATACAAACATCTGCCAAAGTACTGAAGTACCTCAGAGGTGGTTCCCCTGTCTCCAGAAACACATTTTGCCATGATGATACAGACTCATACGGTGAAAAATGAAAAAGACCCTTCTTTTAAATACAGTATTTGACTATTTTCTGCCCACAAACCAACAGAAACTCTTCCCACATGATGAACATTTGCTTTTGCTTTTTCATCCCTTTGGATGTGGCCTCAGTGTTTACTCACATATTTAAAACGTTCACATTTAGTACAGTTCAGAACCCACAGCTTCCCCTCTGTGTTTATTTTATTTCCCACCTTTCCTTCCCTGCATCTTATCATTTATTTGCTGTCATTATTTAATCTCTGATTTAGGAGTATTGTTAAAAATGAGTAATCGATTATCTAATGACAAGTTCGGTATTTGAAAAAACTTTTCTTGTGTAAAAATTTTAACTCATACAGTTTCTAAATGTTAGATTTTTTGGGGGCCGTTTGTCATACATCATTTTGGGCTGTGGTGTGATGGGAATTTTTCATTACTGTTGCATTTTACAGACTCATTGGTTAATTTGTAAATGAAAAAAAAAAAACTTTAGATACATAGGTTACCACTAGATTTTTCACATTTGTTCAACATTAATATTGTTTAAAAGCTGGTTGTAACTGATTTCCTATAGTTACCTGCACTTTAAAGCTGCACAAATCAACATGACATAACAATGAATCCAATGACTGTGTGATGTTAAAGATGCTGCTCGTAGTGACAAAACTTCAGAGAGATATCACCAGATTCTTTCGCCATTAGCTCTCTGGAGTATTTTAGCACCTTTCAGCTCATTGTTTTTGATTTTTGTTTGGCCTACAGCAGCAAGCAGCTGTTTGCTGCAAAAATGCTCCGATAAGCCCCTCTCAGCAGGTGGGAAATCCATGTTGGTCTTCTGTTCTCTTCACCTTGCCAGGAGATTGACATTGCTTTAATAGAAATACCCTATTATTGGGCCGCCTGGATAGCTCACCTGGTAGAGCTGGTGCCCATGTACCAAGGCTGAGTCCTAACTGCAGCGAATCCGACCTGTGGCCCTTTGCTGTCAAAAAACCCCCCAAAAATCAAAAACGGGAACAAAAGAAAGACCCCATTGAGGTTACTTGACTCCACATGAATGATGTTGTTCAGCTGTTTTCTAACACATTAGTCACCACTTTATGAGGTGATAATATTTCAGTGCTTTTATTTATATATGGTATATATATTTTGTTTTTTTTTATTGCCTTTAATTGTTAGCAACAGCTTTAGAGCTACAGGAAAAGGGGCAAAGAAAGAGTGGCAAACACGCAGCAAAGGGCCACAGGTCGGAGTTAAACCCATGGCCACTACAGCAGGGACTCTGTGGTGAGCTACCAGGGTACCCTGTCAGTGTGCTTTTTACAGCTTGTTACTTTTCTCCAAAGTGGCCAAATCAATTAATGCTGCTTTTAGTAATGGGAAACTACATTTGAGTATGGTTTGGAATGTGAACAGCTGTAGCTGAAACCATTAATTACTTAATTTTTACATAATTAAATTCACCAGGTTTTTTTACTTTATTTTTTTACTACTTACAGCCACATTGCATGAATTTTATGAATCGCAACAGGTTGGATTTATTGTATGTGATTTTAAAGGTGGTCAAACTTAACAAAACTTCTAGTCGCGAAGAGGGGCGGATAGCCGAGACGGTGCTCGGACTTATAGTGGGGACCCGTGGGTGGGGTTTGGGGTGGGGGTGTGGGGGCCCCAACTCAAAGCGTTACTTGGTCCGCCTTGTGAAAAGCTCGTGGGGCAAGTCGAGGAGGAGACGCCGGGATAGCATGGCCGGTGGCCAGTCGCCGGAGTGATTTGAAGATACGGTATGGGGGATGCCAAGATCCCCCAAATAGTGTTATGTGGCAGGTGACGCGCGAAGCTGAAATCCCGCGCAGGGGGCGGGTGCGCGGGGGGTCTGGGGCGGTGGCCGGGGGTGGCCGGGGCTGCGCGGCTGGGGCGGCATCAAACAAAAAGGGGGCCCTGGGGCGCACGTGGGCGGTGGGTGGGGTCGGTGGGTCGCATTGGTGGTGGAGCGCGCAACTAGGCTATACTCCCAGCATGCCTTTCAGCAGGTGTGTTTGCTCACACTCACATGACTTTTGAAATCACACAGCTGTGGAGACAGATCACAGGCAGCTCACCGTAGGGGCCTGCACTTTCCTCCCATAGACAGATGTGCACCTTTGAACCAGTGACCCCATAATCAACACTTCTCTTCCTGTCCAGTCTGACCACTGGGGTGCTGAAACAAGCACACACGTTCTTTTAGTGTTGAAGCAGCCCATGTCTGAAAGCCTGAGTTGAAGTAACCTGGAACACTAGGCTGTATTACATTTATTGTGGAAAAAAGTTCATTACCTATTTCTTTACATATGTCTTTCTTTATATATATTATCAAGGCATCTGTATGTATCATTCACAAAATACCTGTTTATGCTACATATGTCTTTGCTCATACAGGTAACATATGTTTTAGAAGGGATCACAGCCCACGAAGACTTCTGTGGCCATTCAGGACAACTGAAACCTGGAGATCTGCAAGTATTGAATAATTATATATATTGTTCATTTTTATGATATTTTTAAAGGAATAGTTTAACATTTTGGGAATTACGCTGTTTTGGTCTCTTGTGAGTTAGATGAAAAGATTGATACCATTTGTTCGGTAAATACACTGACCAACCATAACATGGCACCTGTGAGTGGGTGGGATATATTAGGCAGCAAGTGAACATTTTGTCCTCAAGTTGATGTGTTAGAAGCAAGAAAAATGGGCAGTGTGAGGATT